CTCCCCAACAAAAAGGAAAGGCTTTACTTGTCAGCTAGGGCCCAGCCCTTACAGCTTTAGAAAGAAGAGGGATTCCTTCCTTTATTTTCCCTGGTGCATGAGACAGGGCCATCTCCAGCAAACATGTTGCAATGCATAAGAGAGGCCGATACTTTGTGTGTGGTGTTCACATCAGAAATGAAACATAGCATATTTTGCAAGTGATTCTTTTTTAGGCTTCTACAAAATGCTTAGCAGCTTTTTTGTTGCATTTTATTTCTTTCAAATATTTACAGTTTGCTCTCTATCAGATGTGCCTCACTTAAGTTTCAAAGTACTGACTGCAGTTAAACGATGAGTTTTATTTATGACAACACATCGTAGCTACTTTACAAAATCATATGGCAAATTCCTGCCACAAAGAGCTTATATGCAGCAAGGAAAGAAAGGGTGATGCATTAAAGCTGTACCATAGATTAGTCAAGACTCTTATGTCCCTGCCTCAAGACATTGAGCACCACCTTGGCATAATCCTTACATGAGAGACTACTTTTTAGAGACGAGCCTGAGAGCCCTTTCCACAAATGCCTTCACATTTTATATATTTTCCACAAACATAGAACATTAAGTGGCAGCCAATTCTAAATGACAGAGAGTACTATAAATGTAGCAAATAAAGCTAACCTTTTTAAAAGCAGATTGACTTTTCTGTGTATAATAGTTTGGGGATTTTTGTGCTTTACTTTAAATTCTCTGCCACTCTGCAATGCACTTTTAGTTTCCTTTGAGCGGTGCTGCTAGGAACACACACTGGTTATATTGAATCTGACCTTGATGCAAGACCTCTGTTAGAATTCTGCCAGTATTCTGGGAATGGAACAGGCAAATGTGCTGGCTCAGTAGGACAGGTGGTAGCCTCCTTTCTTCTTTCTTCTCCATGATACTTTACAGAATACCCCTTTACCAGATGTATCGAGGTACAATTTTGTTCCATCTGTGTTTCAAAAAGATTTCTGTTTTTTTTCTCCACTATGTATTAGTTTTAGTTGTTACTTTTCCTGAAAAGTTTCTAATGTTAAAACTTACCTATTAAAAAAATCAAGTGTTTCTCCGATCCCCAAGAATGTATGACATCCAAGAAACTTAGCGTCAAACAAAATCAGTCACAATAATAGAACAAAACAAAAATGTGACAGGATATGTTGGTTTTTGAAGAGCAAATTACAGTCAGTACTATTTGTTACTGTTACACTAAAAGTGAAAAGATCAGTATATTCCTGCAGTTATTGTCTTTGTGTTAATTCCAATCATACTCTGATTTTTATTTCAACTACATTGTAAATGCAGAGTCACTTTTGGTAGCCTTTGTAACCTAAGGACACTTCTATTTAAACAAGTGCCATTGACGAAATGGTCCTGGTCATTCTAGGGAAGTTTTCAAAAGCAACAAAGGGATTTAGGAGCACAAGTCCTATTGATTCTCAGTGGAACTCATGCTCCTAAATCCCTTGGTGCTTGTTGAAATATCCTCCCTACTTAATGTTTTTGTTAGCCCCACATCTTTACAAAAGAATTAGTTGAAAAATAAATACTCAACTCATTTGCTTTAGATGAGTAAGCTATCATTAGCAAATTATTCTCTTACTCAAATATTTATATTAACCTTCATCCTCTTGCAAAAAAGACAGTTGTTTGAGTTTTTATAGATCTTTTTCTTGTAATAGACCTAAATTAGGATAGTCTGTTTCACATAGGCACTATGGAGAAAGACAGGCGATATAAAATCACTAAATTAAACTTCAATATGTTAATTACATTTCTAAAAATAATAAATAAAAGTATATATGCTTAACTAGTGTTCACAGTGCTACAAGTTCAGGCTATGTGGCAACCTTCTGGGCTTGCCTGATGGCCACCTAAGCTCACAGGCTGTTTATAGCGGGAGAAATTATGGCTCTTGGGAGCCATATAAGTCAGTGAATATGGGAGCATTAAAATTCTTTAAAGAGAAATTTGGCAAGAATTTAAACTTTAGAAGTGAGATCGGGTGTTCTATCTGTGCAAAGGCCACAAAGCATACAACCTGTCCCTCCAGCAATCCAGCATATAGGACTCCGAAAGACATTTATTCTGTGGTATGTGCTTGTATATATCCAACTTCCACTGAATCCAATGAGTTGTGTGCAAAGCTGAGGGTGGAATGTGTAATAATATGCCATTGACATAAGTTTCTTTCAAAAGTTTTAGTCTCAGTATCTCTGTGTGTGGAGCAGAATTTTTGAAACTGATGCTGTTTTTAACTACTGAAAACTTGAACCATGTATTTTTCCCTGGGACAATTACTACAACAACAAGAAAGCCCCTCTTAAATTTCTGGTGTGTGAAATTATACAAGCAAATAGTTTTCTGAATTACCAAGTTAATTCCATTAATGTTCCATGCCAGTCTTGGTCATATAAGGAAACAGCAGTTTAAGCTCTGATTAATTCAATATTTGTATGTTTCATTTTACCTTTGATTTTCTTAGTTACAATACAGAACGTAACTAAGCTGAAGTGAAACACAGTATTTCTTTTGTTTTTACAAATACTTTAAAACTTCGTGGGCTACAGAGTTGGGTAATTCTTGTTAACTGATGTTTAGTGCTGGGGGCAATTCTTGTATGACCTTTTAAAATGGGCATGAGATCAAAATAAAATGTTTCCCTAGGCTAAATTATTACTACTTGATGTATCTGTTCTAAAAGATAGGGTTTGTCATGCTGCTTCAGAATCAAAACCTGGAACTTTTAGGTGAAGACTCAGAAATGGATTTTAAATTCTAGTGGTTGTTTACAGCTAATCACTTCTGAAGATAAGTGCAACAAGATCACAAGGCAGGACAGTACATTATGTCCTAATTGGATGTACTTATTGCCTACAGGAAACCAGACAAATAAGTGTAGTCGAGAGGCTGTAAAATGGACACTTAATTTGCAGTTGGGATTTAGAGATTATTGCAGTTCTTTGGCTGAGGTAGTAGCTCATATATGTACATGTGGTTTCCTTTTTCCTTTAGTGTCGGTATCTTTTGTTATGTCTGCCTCTCTGACTTTCTATTCTTTTCTACACATGTTAAGATTCATTCTTTGACTACTATTCTTGTAAGTAGCCTTCTGAAATGCCCCACCAGTCAATTGATCCAGTAGCATGTTCTGGTTTAGCTGTTATCCTAATAAGTTTCTTATGTTTTTCCTGTTAGTTAATGGGTTGCAAAATCAAGCCCTGAAAGATTATTAGCAGTTCAGGGAATCAAATCAGTCTCCTAGGTTAATAAGCTAGTGTCACAACCTGCTTGATCTTACTTGGCATGTTAATTCAGGACCTAGAATCCTGTGTGTGCATAGGGTGATCTAGAGCCCAACTGATACCTGCTGTTTGGGTGAACATCTAGTTTATTACTTCTGGATAATTGGGGTTTCTCACTATTTGGCTTTTGATTTGACTTTTGGATTTTGATCGCAGTTTGTTTTTGTCAGGCTTTACCAACTTTTTTTAAACTTTAAATATGACACTAAGGGGTAACTTGCGCCTTTAGGCACAGCCTAAAGCCAGCACATTTATGTGAATAGCATCACCCAGGAGTAGCCAGGGGAGACACTGAGATTCTGAGGTACAATTTCTTCCCTGTTTCTTATGAGGGGAAGTACTTCACTGTATCCCTTTCCATGTCAAACCCCTTATACTTATTCTAGGGTGTGTGTGGGAGGAGGAGGGGCCTAGCCCAGTCGCTTATATCAGAGAGTACAGTATACAGAGAGCAGGGTCTGTACTCCCCACCAGACCTGGACCCACAGTTGAGGTGGAACTTATTCACGGCCGCAATGGGGTGAGGTGTCATAACTCCCCACCTCAGTGAAGTAAGACTTGGATGCTGTCCTGTTATTGCGTCTGTGAATATACTTTGAAGTTATTTTTTTTTAAAAAAATCCACAATAGAGAATACAATCCTTTTTGATACTGTGCTTCACAAAATGTTACTTGCTTCAAAATGTGCATCTAACATATCCACTTTGCAGGGCTTGAAAATTTAACAAACACAGTATTAGCTGGAGGATTACCTGGTAGCTAGAGGTAGAGGCTTAAGACCATGAGGGGCAGAGGGCTATTAGCTAGGTCGAAGAACACCACACTGGTGAGAAGCTGTACTCCCCTGATTACAGCTGGTACTAGGAAGAGGAAGGATGCATGGGTTTCTAACTGTGTTGTCTGTGGACCATGTCTGGGGCTCCAACTCACATATTTCTAGTTAGTAGGTGCCCTGTAAATTGGAAGCCCACCCCTTCTAGCTGCTAGAAAATGTCTTTCTTTTCTTCCCTCCATTTTGCCAGAGTTGCAATGCTACTGTGAGGTTAGAGTCTTTACTCTTGGCTGAGGTGGAAAGGGATCTGAGAATAGGAAAAAGGTCTCTGCTACTTTCTCTTTTCCACTCTCTATTTTTGGATCTCATCCTTTGTGAATAACTTCATTACCTGCTTTTGTTGCTTTTCCAAGCATTTCCTATCCACTGGGTCCTGAATAGCTTTAGTTACATGGACCAAATATATGTTAATTTCATCTTGATGTTTGGCAAAGGTAGAAGGAGCAATACAAGCATTGGAGCTGTCTGTCTTGCAGACTGAGGAAGTCTGAAATGCATCAGTTCCAATTTGAAAGGATATTATCACAGCTGTAAAGGCTAGAAACTTTAATTTTTTAAATTAAATTATCCAGAAATCAGTGGATTTGGCTCGAGGACTGCCTTTCCACTCATTTTTTTATGAGTGAACATGTGGATTTTTCAAGTTCTACATTTGGCATTCCATTAACAAAAATCACATGCTTTGGTCTTTGTGTATTTGAGGCAGCCCACAACTCCATAATTTTCATTAAATGTCCATGTTAAACACATTCCTTTTCCCTGCTGCATAAAAGTTTTAATAACAAGGAGCACGTCTGATTTTTTTAATGTTGTGATTAACTGCAGTATAATACCTCTTTCAGTGATAGCCAGTTTTCGAGGAACAGTCCCACATGGCTTATCATTGGAGATTGGAGACACAGTTCAAATACTAGAAAAATGTGATGGTAAGTACACAGGTTAAAACTCTCTGTTTTAATAAATTGTTACTGTGCTGATGTGAATTTGAGTCCCATCACTCTTTGTTTAAATGAAGCAAAAATGTACATCTATGCTTGCATGTGTTTAAGCTTGAAAGGATTCGATTTTTTCGTAAATGTCAGTAAATATTGATTTAACTGTGCACAAAGAAACCTATGAAAAAGTATTTCCATTGATAAGAATTGGTAAGAACTGATAACATTATCCCAACTATACATACAAAATGATGAGGTCTAAATTAGCTGTTACCACTCAAGAAAGAGATTTTGACATCAGCTTGGATAGATCTCTGAAAACATCTGATCAAAGGGTAGTGGCAATGAAAAAAGTGAACAGAATGTTAGGAGCCATTAAGAGAGGGATAGATAACAAGCCAGAAAATATTATAATGCCACTATATAAATCCATAGTATGCCCACACTTTGAAGACTGCGTGCAGTTCTGGTTACCCCATCTCAAAAAATATATTAAAATTTGAAACAGTGCAGAGAAGGGCAACAAAAATGATTAAGAGTCTGGAACAGCTTCTGTATGAGGAAAGATTAAAAAGACTGGGACTTTTCAGCTTAAAAAAGAGATGACTAAGAGGGGATATGATAGAGGCAGGGCCTTCCCTAGACCAAATGGTGCCCCAGACGAGGAGAGTCTTCTGTGCCCCCCCTCCATTTGTTAAACTTTTGGAATACCTTATAGCACTATGAGTCCGGAACACCCCAAACCCCCTAAACCCAGCACCCCTGGTGTTGCCTGGGTTGGGTCACCTGCCCCTAAATCATGCCCTGGATAGAGGTCTGTAAAATCATGACTGGTGTGAAGAAAGTGAATTAAGAAGAGATATTTACTCCTTAACACAACACAGGAACCAGGGGTCACCCAATGAAATTAATAGGCAGCAGGTTTAAAGCAAACAAAAGGGAGTACTTCTTCACAGAACGCACAGTCAACCTGTGGAACTTGTTGACAGGGAGTGTAGTGAAGGCCCAACTATAAGAAGGTTCAAAAAAGAACTAGATAAGTTCATGGAGGATAGATCCATCAATTGCTATTAGCCAAGATGGTCAGGGATGCAACTCCATGCTCCGTGTGTCCTTAGTTTCTGATTGCCAGAAGCTGAGAGTGGATGACTTGGTAGATCACTTGATGATTGCCTGTTGTTCGTTCCCTCTGCAGTATCTATATGATGTTCCCCTCTGGTGTTATCTGGACTGGTGATATGCTAGGTCACCCCAATCCTTGACCCTGGGAGCCAGTCTTATTCTGCTCTGCTGTGAGAGCCCCCACTCCTGGGTTGTTTACGCACTGCCTCTGGCATGTAAGCTGCTCTTTGGATTGTGCAACTGAATGACACTAGCCAATATCTCCGGTCCCAGACACAACCCTAGGAACCTCCATCTTGCAGTGTCCAGTTATGCCCGTTGGGTGTTGCAAGCTTATAGGACTTCATCAATTTAACAAAGAAATTGATATGTACCAGGCTTGTTATCCCAAGGGGAGTCTCTGACACGCTTTAAACCAAACGCACTGCTTCAGGTAGAATAAACAAACAGATTTATTAACTACAAAGATAGATTTTAAGTGATTATAAGTCAAAACACAAGAAGTTGGATTTGGTCAAATGAAATAAAAGCAAAACGCATTCTAAGCTGATCTGAACACTTTCAATGTCCTTACAAACTTAGATGCTTCTCAGGTTGGCTGGCTGGTTGTCCTTCAGCCAGGCTCTCCCCTTTGATCAGTGCTTCAGTCGGTTGGTGGTGATGTCTGTAGATGGAGGTGGAAGAGAGAGGAAGATCATGGCAAATGTCTCTCCCTTTTTATCATGTTCTTTCTTCCCCCTTGGCTTCCCCCCCCTTCAGAGTCAGGTGAGCATTACCTCATTGCAGTCCTAAACTGACCAAAGGAAGTGGGGTGACTCACTCGAGAGTCCAACAGATCCTTTGTTGTTGCCTAGGCCAGTGTCCTTTGTTCTTGTGAGGCTGGGCTGGGTTTGTCCCATACATGCCCTGATGGGGTGAGAACTTCCCCTCTGCTCTTGGAAAGTTTTTTGCCTGGGCTTGCTTTAAGCCATGAGGACACACTCTCAGCCTCATAAATATATTCATGAAATTACAACCTATAACATTACTATAACCATGATTACTATAACATTATTATGACAACAATGCTCAGTGCATCGTGAGCCTTCCGAAGACACCTGATATGACACACTTTGCATTAGATACCACACAATCATATTATAAGGATGAACATGGGGCTGCTGGGTGTTCCCCTGAAGTACAGAATGTCACAGCCTAGCATTGGCCACTGTCAGGATACAGGATACTGGGCTATATGGACCATTGGTCTGACCCAGTATGACCATTCTTATGAAATTTTCAGATAGACAAAGTAGAAAAAATGGTACTTCAGAATTTTATTTTAAGAATATTTACTTCGTATATATGGACATGTAATGTTGACAGCTTGTGTTTTAATAGTGATAAAGCTTTTTGAATCTGTGTCTGCTGTCATTAAATAATTATCTGACATACCATAAGCTCCCACAACTGTGAAAATTAAAATCAATAAAAATAAAACAATGCTTAAAACCCATAATATTTGCACAGCTGTGAAAATTTAAATTGATAACTAGCTAAAAATAAGCTTACAAATAAATATTGATTGTATCCATGAAAATTATAATAAAAATTAAATTCTGCCAAGCTTACATATGTTTCTGTATGTCAAAGGAATACTAATGACTTGGTTTTATCTTTGTAACTGTATTGCTTTTTGTTTCTTGTCTATGTTTGTTTAATATCCAGGGAGAAAATAATTGTTAAGCAGTAGGGAGGTCTCATTGTGACTTTGTTTGTGCTCTCTTGGTTTTTCCCAGGGAAGCTTGACTTTCAGCAGGAGGCTTTTAAACTTCATGCCAAATCACAAGTTTAAATCCTAGAGTAGTGTTAAAGATTCCTGACCTACTTCTGTTTTGATATAGAGGCTCCTGGAATAAAAATATTTTTAGACTTGATTTTAATGTATGTACAGAACTAAAATAAAGGAAATAAAACTGCATTTCTTCCATAGAATCTCCTTAAGATCCTACGTAAAGTCAGTTTTTCAAAGCTATATTTTTGTTGTTTAAGATAACATACATTTGTTGGCATAGATGTGGGGGTGTTAAACTGCTGATCTAGTTAGTCATGAATGATTAATCTTTGTCACAAAATGCATTAAATCTGCTTTAATTATTTTGAATTTGGTTCTTTAGGATTTTTAGTATAATAATGTAGCTAATAGCCCTAGCCTGGTCAGCATAATCATAGTTCATAATAGCCGTTAATGGAATACCTTTAATATTCGACACGTTGCTTGATACAAAAAAAAGTAAGATGCATGGTTGGGGTCATATTTGGAGGATATAGCCGAAAATAACCATAAAGCAATTTCAGTTGATACTTTAGCGAGTTAAAAAATTACTTTTCAATGCACAGAATGTACTCAAAATGACTGCAGTCTATTACACTGTGGTATATAGTAGTCATAGCATTCCAAAAGAAAAATATACAACAAGTTTTTGAAAATGGCAATGGTTTACATGTCTAAAAAACCAAAAATATTATTTCTCCACAGGCTGGTACAGAGGATTTGCCTTAAAAAACCCAAATATCAAGGTAAAAACCCAGATGTTTCTAACTATAATTTGAATTCTTTGACAAAAATGTGAATTCAGTCAAACATGTTCATAGGTGAGTGTAAGAATATGATATTTACCATTATGGGAATGCCACAGTTTGATAAGATACTATGGTATTTGGTGTTTTATATTTTAAAATCAATGTTGACAGAAGTATCCTTGATCATGGATTATATATTTTTTTTAATACTCTCATGTTAATACTGTGAGCCCCTTGAATGTCAAGACCTCTTGGCAAAATTAGCTTTTGTTTAGGCAGCATAAATTAAGCCTGGGGGTTTAAGGGAAAGCTAAATGAAATTCTAGAGAGCTAGCTATCATGAATGCATGGTGAAAATAGTATTGATCAGATGCTTTGACTTTAATGTGCAGACTCAGTGTAGCCTCAGAGCCCAATTAGATAGCTATTGTACCTCTTGCAAATGCACATGACACTTCTTGATGCCAGTGAAAGTCATAATGCTAGAGTGAGATCCCTTATTCTTTCTGATTTTTACACTTTTTTGCATTAAAGTAGGTTCGGAATTAGATTTTGGTGCTGTTGGGTTCTCATTTTTGTATCTTAATCTGGTTTGTAAGACGTTTGCAATTACCCTTGCACCATTTTGGATTTGAGCTACAGCCTAAAGTGAATATTGATTGCATTTGATCATCATGTGCTTACTGTCAGTGTAAGTTTGTACCCTACCAGATGTGTCAAAAAAAGTTATGAATGGGACATCCTAAATACGACTCAAGCTCTGTGAGGAAATGAGCTAGCCATTTGTGCACTGTTGTCACCTTTTGTGGATGAAGGTGCTTTTTGAACTTGACCTTGAAAACGAGTCTTCTTGAAGGCAGCATGGTCTGGTAGTGTTGCTCTGCCAGGCTTCTTCGCTAGCTATTCTACAATCTGTCTCATAGCAAAACGGGGCACCATCAACTGTTCTTAAACCACGAAGGATTTATTTTTTTAAATTTTCCATCTGAACATGTTAAAACTAGTAACGTTTTCCTTTTTGGAAAACTCATCATGGCTTTCTCTTGCAGTTGTTTCTTTAGTGTAAACTTGCCTGCTTTTGTTTACTGCCCTGCTTGTAAATCACAATGCTCTGTAAGGAGTGCTTGGTGGTAGTTAATTGCTGCTGCTTTGCTACCAGAGAATATAAAAGAATACTGTATTCTTGAGTAGATCCCAGATAAACCATGGAGTCATTAAAAATGCTGTGTTTTGAAAATCCATTCCAGATGTCAATTTTAAGATGTCATAGATAAATGTTGTCCACAGACTATTTGTCATTGTCCCCTTAAAATAGGACTTAGTTAACATTTTTACTATCAAAGAGCTATGCTGCAATGTTCTATACATTCTATACACATTTTTAGCTTCGTATTTGAAGTTTCAATCATTTAAATCTATATTATATATACTAAATAGTCACAGTGGGATTTTTTGTCACAAATAGTGTCACTGATAAAACATTGTGCAAGTTTTTCTCTGAAATGGTTAGCCTAAACCAAGGTTCTCTCCTAACAGTAGGCAGCTTGTTAAAACTTTGTGCATTTATTAAACTATTTTCTCTTTCAGGGTATATTTCCATCCAACTATATTCACTTGAAAAATGCGTGTGTTAAGAACAAAGGGTAGGTTGTGATTTTGTATTCAGCTATTTAAGGAGGCTGAGAAGAAGGATCTGAACTTGTACAGATTGTTGTAACATGGCTTCTTTTCAGGCAGGATAAAGATATAATTTTCACTGGTGTTTAACACTGTAAAACTTCAGCTCACTGCCCCCAAGGATTTAAATGAATGTCCTTAAACAGCCTGGCACTTTCATTCAGGCATAAGATAGAAGTCACTTATTCTAAAAATACGTGGAGCAGAAATGGGGAAGTAATTTCTGTGTTGTCTAGTATATGCAGAGAACAATTACTTGTTTTAACTACTGGTGTTACTCAGATTGAGTTTAATAGGCTGGCTCTCTTGTTTAAACACAGTAGTAGCTCCCTACAGGGTTCTGCATAGAATAGTCTATTAGCCATTGCTGAACATTGTTCATTTTATTTAGGGTGTCAGCTGCTTCATGGCAGAACTAGGTTACCATTATTTGAAACAATCTCCTGGCATTCACACACAAAGTTGAAAGGGACAGTTTCAAGTCAGTGTATGCGTTATAAAAATATTTTACAAATCTAAAATTAATAGAATTGTTTTCATGCTTTTTGTTTTTAAATTACAATAAAACATTTTTTGTTTTAGTTTTGGATGTCTGCTAGTCTATTTTCATTATCAAAAGCAGAGTTAGTAAAAACCAAGAGGTTAGAAATTCTTTCAATTAAAAAAATCCTAACATGCTAGTAAAAGGGAGAGTGACATTTTGTTAAGGTGTCACTTTTAACTTGACAACAACCCATTTAAAATATCCTGTTTATCAGTGGTTATCAGGCCAGCACAGTTATTTTCCTTAGGTGTTTGCACAGTTCCTGAACATTTATTTCCTAGAATTGACCTTCTTTTGTTACATGCATGAATAGAGGAATTATTGATTAAAATTAGCAAAAATAATTTGGAATTACTCATCATGGAAGAGTTCTTGTTTTCAGGGTCCTTTTGACCTGAAAGGACCTGGATAGCATGTATTACACAAATGCTTGAAGGTTTAAAACTACATCTCCCTTATGGGAGGGGAGAATAAGAAAGTGAGTAGAAGGTCAAAGCTCCATGACTGGCAAATAAAATCTTCCTGTTTGGCATCCTCTAACAACTGGAAACCTGGTCAGGACAAGTGAAATTGAATTTCCTATTGCCTGCTGAATGAGCCACTGTCTGCTACGTTTCTAAATTACTATGCTATCTCTGCCCAGCCAGTTACGCCATTCAGTAGGGCTGGTTGAAAATTTTCCACTGAAATTGTTTGTGGACAGAAAATTGGGTGCTTGACAAAATAAAACTCTTTGTTGAAAGTGCACAAAAATGGTTCTGTGTGGAAAATTTCACTTGCTTCATGCCCCAATTTTCCTTTATGGGCTTTACTCTGCAGCCAAATTACCTCTCCCATGATGCTGTGTGGCCAGGGAATCACACGGTGCTCCTCAAAAACTCAACAAAAGGGGAGACTGTGGTGATTCATGGGAGATGTAGTTCAGCCAAGAAGCCAGGCCATAGTTAACTATTGCAAACAGCCTCTTCCTCCTCCTCCAGATTGGACCTGATCCTCCATGGTGTGTGCTGTTTTTACATCTGTGTAACTTTGAACTAATGGAGTTGCACTCGTGTAAAATCAGTGCAACACAATGGAGGATTTTGCCCACAGGCTTTTTTGAGAAACATATTGTTTGTCATTGGACAAGAGCAAGTCAACTTAATACATTTTCCTAGCTAAGGCAAAAACGTCACAACTCCTGTTTCCACACTGAACAACCTTGCTAGCTTTCTTTCCTGAGTCCTTGCTTCCAGTCTATCCCCTCTTTTTATAGGAATTGCATTTCTGGAGTAATTTACGTAAACAGAAGTAAAAAAAAATAAAAGGGGGGGGAGCATGTTCACTTGTTTAGTCACTAAATTATAATAGCACCAACAAACTTTTCTTTTAGCTGAGGAGATATGTACAAACGTGCTTGAAATAATTGTATTGATATAAAGCTATGCGTGAAATCCTGCCCCCTTTGAAGACAATGGCAAAACTCCTATGACTTCAATGGGACCAGCACTTCACCCTATGTTTTTTTTTTCAATTAAAAAGAAAGAAGTCCCAGGGATGTTAATAAATATCAACATTTGTAAGAGAGAGGTTTTATGTTAGCAATAGCAGTGTGGTTTATATTGGTTGTATAATGCCATATATTCTTCTGGATGCCACAGGCAGTTTGAAATGGTTATTCCAACAGAAGACTCCGTTATCACAGAGATGACATCAACTTTAAGAGACTGGGGGACAATGTGGAAACAACTTTATGTGGTAAATACTATATAATATTGCCTCGCTTGAACACAGTTTAAAATAGATTCTGTCACCTTACAAATAATAAAATAAAGTGGTTTGTATTTAGGAAAAAACAAAAGGAAAAAAGTATTCATCCAAAGATCAAATTGTTTGGCTTTTTTCTCCATGCAGGATTTATTTAAACCTCTTTTTTTCCCCCAGTTTTTTTTTAATCCAATATTATGGTTTTCTGCCAGAGACTAACTAGGACATCTGTTCACCGTGTAAATGATAGTAACACAGAAGAATAAATGGGAATGGCTTGATTTGTTATCAAAGTCTAGATTTAAAAATGGTACGTTTTGGGAGCTGTGACTGCATAAATCTGAATGACAATATTAACATGGCTATTAAAAGACAAAGACCAAAAAAAGAGCAAGAACAAGAAGATCAAATGGTTCTTTTTCAAATATAAACAATCAAAAGCCACAAACAACAGAGTGAAGGAAATAATCTAGAACGTAGTAACAAACAGAAGGTAACATGAAAGAACTGCAGTTTCAGTCCATAATATTAATCAAACAAGAAAGTAAAGTGCCACAGTTAGTTGCAGCTATTGTAGGGAGAAAAGGACTCAGAGGAAAAGAGGGAAAAACATTCTTCCAAAATCTGACCCCTTTCCAGCAGCTGTGGCTTTGATTTGACTTTGATTTTGGAATGGGAGGTTAAATTTTGCAGATTGTTTTAAAAGAAAAAGTTTTTGGAGGACAAAAAGTCAAGAATGCACAAGCCTGACCTTGAACCTCCTTTTGAAAGAAATGATGAACAGCCAGTGGAAGGAAAGCAGCTTGATACTTAAGTAAAAAAGCATCAGCCACACTATCAGAGGCTCGTTCACCTGCACATCTACCAATGTGATATATGCCATCATGTGCCAGCAGTGCCCCTCTGCCATGTACATTGGCCAAATCGGACAGTCTCTATGTAAAAAAATAAATGGACACAAATCAGACGTCAAGAATTATAACGTTCAAAAACCAGTCGGAGAACACTTCAATCTCCCTGGTCACTCGATTACAGACCTAAAAGTTGCAATTTTTCAACAAAAAAAACTTCAAAAACAGACTCCAACGAGAGACTGTTGAATTGGAATTAATTTGCAAACTGGATACAATTAACTTAGACTTGAATAGAGACTGGGAGTGGATGGGTCATTACACAAAGTAAAACTATTTCCCCATGTTTATTCCACTCCCCACCCCCCACTGTTCCTCAGATGTTCTTGTCAACTGCTGGAAATGGCCCACCTTGATTATCACTACAAAAGGTTGTCCCCCCCGCCCACCCACCCCCCCTTGCTGGTAATAGCTCATCTTAAGTGATCACTCTCATTACAGTGTGTATGGCAACACCCATTGTTTCATGTTCTCTATGTATTTTCCACTGAATGCATCCGATGAAGTGAGCTGTAGCTCACGAAAGCTTATGCTCAAATAAATTTGTTAGTCTCTGAGGTGCCACAAGTCCTCCTTTTCTTTTTAAGATAAAATGTGTTTCACAAAGTAAAAGTGTGATTGCCGAGCTGAAACAATGACATGCTGCCAGACAGAAGAGAGATTTAAAAATACTAGTACTGAAGGTTGTCAGTTACATAATAAGTACGGCGTATAAGTTAGTTTTAAAAATATTGGCAGGATGGGAGAGAACAGCTTTTATTTTGGCTTGCTGTACTTTTTCCTTTTTTCTTTCTTAGCAAGGACAATTTTTTTGTTGCTTGACTCAATTTGTCTTGTTTATACTTAAAACCCTACAAATTCAGCATGGGTCAGTCTGTGATCTGAGAGCCCTATTATCCTATTTGCATGGGTTGCAAAGAAACCAACCCCTGTAAATTAATGTGGAGGTCTGATTATAGATTAAGTCCAGCCTCCAAAGAGGGCATCCATTCTCACTTACCTCAGCACCTCCTGAGTAGAGTCCAAACTTAGCAAAGCATTGACTTAAGGCCATCCCTATTCAGCAGCATTATATGTAAACATGTGGTTAAGTCCCATTAAAGTCAATGGTGCTTAAGTACATTCCTAAAGCTAAGCATGTGCTTAAGAGTTTCGCTAAATAGGGATAAATGTGCTTCTGATGTGGGGTCTCATTAAGGAGGATTGTAAAAGGTGAAATCACAGCACTACTTGTGGAAAGGAGGCTGACTAAAAGGATAGTTCCCATGGATTCACAAAAATTTGTAATTGTGAACATCCTCCATCCATTTCTATAAAATCTATTGAACCTTTACTACTGAAAGTTTGGAGGAAAAAAATCTGAAAAGCAGTTTTAAAGTTATCATGTTTCAAGGATTTGGTTCATACTTCCAAAATGCCTTGTCCTACACACTCCAAATTTGCTTTGTTGAGCAAAAGTACCATTTTAATACTTTGATGGTTGGGTGGCAGGGGATTGATGGTTGGGTGGTAGGGGAGCTATTCAAAGTTGTATATGATTTAAAGAACTTGTGATAGGATGTACATACATACGGCTAAAGTAGGCCGGGGTTAGCTAGGGGTTTGTTAGGGGCATAAAAAAGAGGCTAAGGGAGAACTCCTAAAGGGAACAGGAAGAGCACTTTGTCCCCAGGTCCAGGGAGGAAACACTATCATGTCCCAGACCAGGAAGCAAGGAGAATTTGGGAAATTGACTGTCATGTTTAAGCAGAAGAAATATATTGCTTGCTGGGGATGATGTAAGATAGGCACTATTTCAGGGTTGGCCAAATTGTGGCTTGTGAGCCACATGTGGCTCTTTTACCGTTGAAGTGTGGCTCACAGAGCCCCCCCCACCCATTCCCCACCTACCAGATGGGGGGGCGGGAAGAGATTTGGGACCATTGCCTTGCAGCAGAGTAGTGGTGTAGGGGCTTCTGCCCAGTGGGGAGGGGGAACTCGGGGCTTCAGCAGGATCTGGGCTGAAGCCCCAACCCCTTTCAGGTGCCTCCCATAGGGCTGAAACAATGAGCTGGGCAGGTGTGTCCCAGCTCTTGAACTTCTGAAAATTACCCTATGTGGCTCGGAGGGTCAGTAAGTTTGGCCATCCCTGGACTATTTGTTTTTTCCCTTATTTGAAGCAGACTATCTTTTGTTGCTATTTTTGGACCCTTAAGAAAATTGACCGATCTGCTGCTGATTCCAGAATTGGTCAGAGTCCAGTAGCATGTTTTGCGGGTTTGAAACCAGGAAGGGGGCCCATCAAGGAGCCCAGAAAGGGGGACAGGGGCGTGGAAGGGACGTGGACCCATTCTTCCCTGACTACAAATGTGGGGCTTCTGGGGAGGTGGGCAGGACTTATGGGGCATGGAGAGGTGGAACTATAGGGCATAGTGGATGGGCATTGAGAGAGGCAGGGAACCGCAGGGCATAGAGACAGAGGACCATAGATAGATTCAGCCTTTTTATCAACATTAAAAGGTTTGTAGATACACAAAACTGCTAGAAGCCCTCCACTTTGCTCATCCCCTCCATTCCCTCCACCATTCTTAACCCTATACCCTACCCAGCTTGAATTTCCTTTTCTTCCCTCCCATCATCTCTTATGAATTCAATAGGTCAGTAGAAGAAGAATGCCACTTTGGGCCTTATAGATCTGTCAGACCAGGGCTCCACACCTGCAGACGCTATACACAAACTCCATTTAAATTTCAGGACCTAATTTTTAAAAAAGGGAAATCTCCCCCAAAGTTTGTTCGATTCAGCAGAAAGTGTTTCACTGGCATTTATCTAGCATGTCCCCAGAATTACATTTTCTTCATGACCGTTCCACAGCTTTATAAAACTCAAATGTTGAATCTGGAAATGACCGATTAATGGCTCCAGCCAGTTCTCCATCATTGACTATTGCCAAGTCTAATTTACATAACCCACCCGACATTAATTATGCCCCCTATAATTAGCTAAAATATAAGCAACGGTTAAAATAACAAACTACTAGTCCATGGTAAAATCCCAATTTCCTGTGTAAAGGATGCACTTCCAACATGCCTTATTAATAATATGTTCATATGTGGTATTCCAGTAAACTACTTCCTAATGTTGACTGCAAAAAAAGAACTATATGGGTTAGTTACTACATAATATAGTTTATAAATATGAACTTGAAGGGTCTTGCATACGCTTAAATGTCATATAATCCACAGACTTTATAGCACTAAACAAATGTAATCATGCTATTTCTGAGAGTAAAAATATTCTTCTACTGTACCCACACATCAGTGAGAGAATTTATACAACTGACCTATCTGAATGTTTCCTGGAACTATGTTCCTTTCACAATCTTTGCATGCTAAAATGATATATAAATTCAACAATGTATGTCTAACAGCATATTTTCAATGCAGAACAAAACAAGGGGCAAAGGTAAGGTACGCTGGGTCATATTGAGTCACAGAATATTAGGGAAATTGACTGGATCCCTAAATTGTTCATTTCTAGACTTAACTTTTACATTTTATTTTTACTAAGGGACCTTATTTCCAAACAGTGCTGAGTAACTGCCCTCTGAAACCCAGATCCCTTTAAGATATCTCCAGCTGGACACTTAAAAATGGAGATGTCCAAAATCACTAGTGATTTTTAGAAAATTTAGACCAGGAAATTTTGAGAAGACAAAATTGTTTCTCAAAAAGAAAAGGAGTACTTGTGGCACCTTAGAGACTAACCAATTTATTTGAACATGAGCTTTCGTGAGCTACAGCTCACTCAAATAAATTGGTTAGTCTCTAAGGTGCCACAAGTACTCCTTTTCTTTTTGCGAATACAGACTAACACGGCTGTTACTCTGAAAATTGTTTCTGTAGACCTCTTCTACACACGTTACATGGTGCTTCAGTTTTTTTAAAGAACCTGTTTTATTGTAGTTAGCACAGACCAGATATGAAGAGAGGGCCTGATATAAAGCCTGTTGAAGTTAATGGAAAGGCTGCTCTTGTCTTAAGTGTTTTGAGTCAGATCTGTAGTGTTGTCTTTGGATAGAGTGGTGCTGTCTAGGTAGCT